ATTACAGCTGGAGTGAATTTAATGTACAACAATGATGCTGATAATCTATTTCTGTGTATGATCATTTCACTCAGTAACTTTTATTCATATTATACCAACTTTATACTGAGAATACAGATGGAACAGCATTCTCAGTTTGATAGTCGATTACAGCTATTAAAGATTTAATGCACTATTATATTAATTTGTTTTTATTTTTATTTTACTCCAACTACTTCTTCCATAAACATTGTTTTATACAGAGACTAAACAGTAGAACAGATTTACCCAGTGCCCCTAAAAACAGGAAGTTCCAGTAAAAACTGGCAATTAGGATCAGTTTAATATACTGTAATGCTTTCTTTGCTTTTTCTGTTCTCCCAGTACAATGGGTCAAAAAATTTAACCTGTAGTTAATTAAATGAAAAAAAGAGATACATTATATGTTTTACCATTTTTCTCAAATTCAATGATTACTACATGCAGGTATACTACACTGTAATGTTTCTTGATACAGCTATGTTATCTGTTACTATGTTACCATGTTTAATGGAAGTAAACAACTGGGATTTGATCAGTGTTCCTGGTAAATGGCTTCCTTTCCCTACACTACAGCGGGGCATAAAGGTACTATGATAATCCTATAATTTCCTTATATTACAAACGGTTATAAAAGTACCATAATAATTGTGTTCTTGTGTAAAGTTTGTATAATATGAATAAAAGCTACTGAGTGAAATGATCATGCACAGATATAGATTATCAGCATCACTGCTGTGCTTTAAATCCACTCCAGCTGTAATATACAAGGGGAAACCACTTTTCTCAGGCCCTGGTTAAAGATGTTCCCCCTGTATTCTCAGTTCTAAAGATTATATAAGATGAATAAAAGTTACTGAGTGAAATGATCATGCACATAAATAGATTATTAGCATCATTCCTCTACTTTAAATCCACTCCAGTTGTAATATAAAAGGGGGAACCACTTTTCTCAGGCTCTGGTTAAAGATGTTCCCCCTGTATTCTCAGTGTAAAAGTGGTCTGGTTAAAGATGTTCCCCCTGTATTCTCAGTGTAAAGATGGTATAATATGATTAAAACTTACTGAATAAAATGATCTTGTACTGATACAGATTTTCAGCAGCATTATTGCACTTTAAATCAACTCCAGCTGTAATATACAAGGGGAAACCACTTTTCTCAGGGATCTGGTTAAAGATGTTCCCCCTGTATTCTCAGTGTAAAGATGGTACAGATTGACTAAAATTTACTGAGTAAAATGATCTTGTACAGATATAGATTATCAGCATCATTATTGTACTTTAAATCCACTCCAGCTGTAATATACAAGGGGAAACCACTCTCTCAGGGCTCTGGTTAAAGATGTTCCCCCTGTATTCTCAGTGTAAAGATGGTATAATATGACTAAAGCTTACTGAGTGAAATGATCTTGTACAGATATAGATTTTCAGCAGCATTATTGCACTTTAAATCCACTCCAGCTGTAATATACAAGGGGAAACCACTTTTCTCAGGCTCTGGTTAAAGATGTTCCCCCTGCATTCTCAGTTCTAAAGGTGGTATAATGTGAATAAAAGTTACTGTAAAGACAAGTCACATTAGTACCATAACAGTAAGACTTCAGCCTCAAGGACTATAGAGAAATTAACTTCCTAGGTGCACTGAGATATGTAGTCTAACAATAATAACACAGACTAATTACGGTGCTGTGTAATGCAGTTTATTTATTTCAGCAACAAATGTTTCAAATCTATTCGCACAACTTAGCGAGACTGATGAGGATATGGGACATAAATACACCTTAAAAATCACTTAAGTCTGAACTACAGAATGTGTCTGCATGTACGGTAACGTTAATTAAATCAGAAGTGGCACCTTAAATCTAGTTTATGTTACTCGGAGTAGCTGGAAACGGAGCCAAAACTAGCATTATCTAGATAACCCACGTAGTGTTTGAGCATTAAAACATCTGCTAACAACACATTTTATACTTTAAAATATGTTTAACTACAAGCCATTTTACAATCAACGTGATAATTCGCTTACCGCGAGGAACAGGACGGAATAAAGGTACAAACACAAACGAATTAAGCCTATCTAAGCCCTGCAGAGCAGCGTCAAGTAAAGACGTCATGATTTCGACATGCGCAATGAGGGGGGAACTGAATTTACCGTAACACCGGTATGATAAACATGGCGGACGGAGCGGCCGTTTCTGCCAACCGAGGAGTTTACAAATGTATTTAACAAAAGTATTTCACATATTTGTGTTTGTAGGTGTCTAAAATTGTTCCTGTGGTAAAATTTTGGCAGTTTGCTTGTCTAAGGCGACCTGACAGGCTGCGTTCACAGCTCGTTAGGTGAAGCTAACGTTAGTTAGCTTAGCTAGCGGGTTAGCTGCATAAACGCGCTGGCTCTTTAAAACGAGAGAGAGCCTAGTTTAAAGTATTGACTGTTCACTGTTTAGTAGCGTTTTTATTTGTTAATGACTTATCGGTTTGATTCTGTACTCAGGAACTAACTTTACAGTAGCGGAGAGGTGCTGTCTGAGGGGCTGAGGAAGAGAAGCTGTTACGGGGGGAAACGACTGAAAGCAGCTCACTTTTGCAGTGTATATGGTGGAAAACACTGCGGAACCAGCGCGGTAGACTTAAGTTCTCCCTGAACAATTAAAAACACTTCAACACTGGACGATGTAGAACTTAAGAAAATAAATGTTTTTAAAATAAATACCACAAATGCTTATTTTTGCCTGCTCTGATTGTCTTGTATTGCTGTGTTTATCACAGTCACATCAGTGTGTTCATTAAGGAGGATGAGGACAGTGAATGAACTGAAATGATTTACAAACTAGTAGTCAGAGCTGTGAGCTATGTAGTTCTGCCGCACCCAGGAGGAGGACACAGAGCTGTTTGTGTGTTGCTGACCAGTATGCGGTAAATAAAAAAGACCGCCGCAGCCGTCAAATGCAGAGCTGTTTGTGCGTTGCTATGACCATTATGCTGTTAATAAAAAAGACCGCCACAGCAGTTGCACACCCCGCTTCTGTCTGTCCACTCATTTGCACTGATGGAGTGGACGCCACAGAGTTCATGTTCATCTGCCTGCCATCACCTGTCCGTATGGATTGTTCCCCAGCCAAGGGGGTCCCCCTCCCCAGTGAGCCCTAGGAGAAGGAGGCAGTCCCCAGTTTGGTTCAAAGACTTTTGGTCAGGGGGGTAGTGTAGCGTTTGTAGTGTTTATTGTGGGTATTGTTCTCCTGCAGTTATTCTCTGGGTTTATTCTGACAAAGAAGAAGTACTGGGTGAGTCTGAGCTGAGCACTGATAGAGTGCAGACATGAGCTGAGTGTAGAGCTTAGGCTTACAGTGAACTGTTAGCAAAACTCTCTTTGTGTATAGTGTGGCTGTGGCCAACTACAGCTGGTTAGTAAAGCACAATGACTTGTGCACATTTGAAACAAAGTTATTTCAAAGCAATTTTTTTTTCAATATGGCTGAGGTGTCTAAAAAATGAATGCTAGTTTATAAATCACACTTACACCAGCTGGAAGCTGCCGTTTTGGTCTCTATTTGTTATGTGATTCCATTTGTGTTTTCGGTTTAGGAATTGGGTAATATTTTATTCTCCGGACTCTTGGGATGTCTGGTATCTACAATTTCTACATTCCACAAAGCTGCAGTATAGTGTGAAAGTTCAGAGTGTGCGCCTGTGCACGCCTAGTGAGGTTAGGTGTGGTCTGAGCATTCTTCAGAGAGCTTGGTAAAATGATACTCCGCTATGAAGTTCCTCATAGGTGAGAATAATTTGGTACATTTTGCCAGCTCTGCCTGTTTGTCATGGTATGTGCACTGTGACGCCACTTCTTCCTTGTAATTGTTGATAAAGGCACGATTTGATCTGGCCAGGTTACAAGGCAGGTTTTTTGCCATAAACAAGTCTCTTCCCTGTCTTTACTTTTGTTTTCTTCAAATGGACAAAAAACACACTCTGTTTAAGAAACACACTTCAGGTAGAAATAAGCAGAAAAATAAAAGATTTATAAGTAGAAAAGTAATATAAAATACAAAGAGTCAATACGGGATGTATGGAGTCAATGCAACTTAAAAATATAGGTGCAACAGAATTTGGTACAGTTTATTCCCTCACTAAAGATAATGAAGTCATACCACCCCAGTGACAGCATTTGCACCCTGACAGGTAAAGTTTTTCTCAGAGAGTGTATGTAAATGATCATGACTTCTGCTGTATTACATAGTGTGGGCAGTTGCCAATTTGGGTGTTGTCCGTTAAGGCAAAGTAGGCCTACAATGTGTTTTCAAGCAAAATCTGCAAACCACTTCCTGCTCTTTACTTTGTTTTTTCTTCAAAAAACACACGTTGAGAGTATGAAACACACCCTTGGAAAAAAAAATTTATGCAAAATCTGCATTAACCACTTCTCTTTCTTTACCTATGTTTTCTGCAAATAGACATAAACATGCATAAAACACATCCTTTTCTTTTTAATGAAAAATCTGCATTAACTACTTTACTTTCTTTACTTTCATTGTCTTTAAAATTATAAAAAAAGCACTGGGATTATAAAACACACCCTGGTCCTCCAGCCTTAATATGCATGTCTTTGAGCTGCTGAGTCCAAATGTACTGAACGTGACACGTTAATGACTGCTTACACTTTCAGGTTATAACGGCTGAAAATACGCGTTTCGCAATTAAAACCCGTTTTTTCTCCGAGCGTTTCTCTTCGTCTCGAATGGCATTTTATGCGCAATAACTGTATAACTGTGTCTCAGAGAGCGCATTAAATAGCATTTAATATAATGTTACTGTAGTACTGTGTCTCAGAAAGGGCATTTAAGGTCATGTCTTGAGGAGAGCAGAAGGCGGAGACGCATCGTCTGCTTTCTTAGATTAGCCTGAATTCTACATTAGACTGTTCACTGAAGCAGCTCAACAGTAAATATAAGCGAAAATGAAGAGTGTTTAAATCACTACTCACCGTCACAGATGAACAGAACTCCTAACAGAAAAAGACAAATTATTAATCCCATCTTCACATCTGAGAGGAACACGGCTCTGTGTGAACCCATTTCACTTTCACTTCTGGCGGTGGGCGGGACAAAGAAGGCGGCTGTCAATCTTGGCGACTCGAACCAATCACATAACAGCTACCAAACTCTAACGAGCCAATCACCAACAGGAATACGGCACTAAAGTAGTAGAAACAGGTCTAACAGCGCAGGAATCGCTCAGTTTTACTGATTTTAGGGTGATAAACACTGAACTGCGTTTCTACAGCTGTACTGAATTAAACTGCAGTGCTGCGCATATTTAGATGTATTAATTTAGTTTTATGTGCTGCAATAGAATCTCTGTTGCTTGTATCGAGTTCCTTGAAGCTGCATTATTATTGTTCTGGTTCCGGCATCAGTTAAATCTGGGGGAGGTGCATAAAGTTGCCACCCATTTCAGTTGTTTTCGAGACGAGCTGGTTGTGCCTGGCAAAGCTGCCAGGTGGTTGTATGTTCTGTCAGTGATGGCCATACTGGCTATTTTCAGTAAGTCAGATCATTTGGCTCAGCTCACAAATAAGAGCCGACTCTCTTGTTTTAAGGTTTCAATTAGCCTTGGGGGCAATAATTGATATAGAATATTGTGATCATTTTGATAAGCGTCCATATTATGCAAGTTATCTTTCCTTTTTATACTGGTTTGCCTTTATATACCCATGAACAACCTTTCTGATCATTCTGAGCGCCTGGGCTCATCCTTACCATTAAGGAAAATGAATAACAGCAGCTGTGTTGATGTAATATATTGTAGTATGTTTGAGGAATTGTAAACAATGATGGCGGTGTCCATGAACAGCATTTAGCAGGCCTTCCTGCAGAGCTGTGGAGTCAAGTGTGTCACCATTGCCGGTGTGGGCAGAGGTGATGACAGAAACATATCCAAGGGTTGACCACAGCCAGACATCCCAGTGGCGCAACGCTGCTGGTGCTGGATGTGGAGCCAGCTGGGACATCTGATTAGGGCTTGTCCGCTGGCCATGTCCACAGCCATACCACAAATGGCACGGGACTGCCACTGGTGCAAGACATGCCGCCAGACGAGACATCTGGCTAGGATTTGTCCATTGGGGGTGAAGTCAGCAGGAAAGAATGAAAAGAACAGGACAGGCAGCGACCAAACAGTGGACATGGTGAGGGGAATGTCCACAGCAGACTTCTGCCATATTTCCATTGACATCAGGTCAACAGTTACAGCGGCCCAGCCAGAAGTGGTACCTGCCGGTTCCAAGCTGGAAGGCACAGCATTTCATCTCTGCACTGTGACCAGTGTGCTAGCGCCAATCTTGGGTAGGGGATGGCTGACGCTGACAGTCAGAGGCATGAAGATGCGCCATTTAGTCTGGATAGTAAACGTCCAAGATGTGCATTCTAGGCCTAGACTTTTTGAGAAGCAACAAGTGCCAAATGGACCTAGACAGTCACAATGAAGCCACTCGAGGCCCAGTGCATCGTGGAACATGCAGCATCAGAGCTGTGAGCTGTGTAGTTCTGCCACACCCAGGAGGAGGACACAAAGCTGTGTGTGCGTTGCTATGACCATTATGCTGTTAATAAAAAAGACCGCCACAGCAGTCACACGCCCTGCTTTGGTCTGTCCACTCAGGTGCACAGATGGAGTGGATGCCATGGAGTTGGTGTTCATCTGCCTGCCATCACCTGTCCGTATGGATGGTTCCCCAGCCAAGGGGGTCCCCCTCCCCAGCGAGCCCTAGGAGAAGGAGGCAGCCCCCAGTTTGGTTCAAAGACTTTTGGTCAGGGGGGTAGTGTAGCGAGAAATGTGTTTTACGTGTTTATTGTGGGTATTGTTCTCCTGCAGTTATTCTCTGGGTTTATTCTGACAAAGACTCTTAATGTGAAGGTAGGGCTGACCACAAAGCTGTGTTTAGGAAGTACTGGGTGTGTCGGAGCTGAGCGCTGATAGAGTGCAGACATGAGCTGAGTGTAGAGCTTAGGCTTACAGTGAACTGTTAGCAAAACTCTCTTTGTGTACAGTGTGGCTGTGGCCAACTACAGCTGGTTAGTAAAGTACAATGACTTGTGCACATTTGAAACAAGTTAATTCAAAGCAATTTTCTTTTTCAATATGGCTGAGGTGTCTAAAAAATGAATGCTAGTTTATAAATCACACTTACACCAGCTGGAAGCTGCCATTTTGGTCTCTGTTTGTTACGTGATTCCATTTGTGTTTTCAGTTTAGGAATTGGGTAATACTTTATGGATGTCTAGTATCTACAATTTCTACATTCCACAAAGCTGCAGTATAGTGTGAAAGTTAACTCTAAACATATAGACCTAGTCTTTGACAAATCACAGTTGAAAATTCTTTTTAGGCTTAGCCTTAATCTGGGTGAAAATGTGGATTTGGCAGTTAAACATCATTTTTTTCAACTACTCAAATCTGGATTTCAGTGCAGCTCTGTTGGAGTTTTTTCTGAAGCTGCATTTGAAATCCAGAATTCTGGATGAAAATTATGAAAGCGTTCAATATTTGGCTGTATTTTTTGGTTATATTTGGCTGTTCCCTTCACCTTGACCCTAAGACATATGTACTGAGTGAGAAGAAGGTACCTTCTTTCTGTTTTATCACTTTCAGTAATTCAATACCATTATTTTCACCATGTGAACAGTGCGTTCCCATCAACCCGGGAGGAGTTACCTATTTTATTTTGGCAAATACATCTACTGCAAATGCTTTTACACAGTGCTGAGTGCTGTTATGTTGGATTTCTGATGAAAGTCCATCATCCAGTTGGTTCAAACTGTTACAAGTTTGAATGTCAATGATTTCCACAAATTTAAAGAATAAACTTGGGTTCAACATGAACTCTTTCCCTGCCAGCTGCCTTTTTAACTCCTCCCCTGACTACTGACCATAACAAGATAAGGCTAAATTTGAACAGGCCCTCATGCTACCAGCAAGTACCAACAAGCAATGTGATTGGCTGGACTAGATTACACTACAGATTAGACCATTGACGTGCCAAAGGGTTTGAATGTGAAAGTAGATGAAGGCCATATCAAGTACATTTGTTCACTGAATTTCTGAACATCAGCCTACCGGGAAAAGCTATTTTCAATGCTGCTGTCTAGACTCGTCTGGGTTTTACTTACCATGGACAATCAGGCAGTCATTAATATCAAACCCTGATAAACACCTATTCTTCAAAATCTGAAACTCATTCTCAGAGTATCTCATCCTGAACAGTCACAAGCTCTAATGTCAGGCTAAACTGGTTTAACAAGGAAACCAGCCAGTGAGTAAATGATCAAGCATACATATGCATAAACAGGGTTGGACAAAACACTGAAGAAGTATGAATACATGTTCAGAATGCTTTTAAATATATGTACAATACGTACAATACTTGTTAAGGCAAATGGGAAAGTCTTTTTTTAAAGACTTTCCCATTTGCCTTAACAAGTAAGTCTTAATTCACACTGTTCCTCGCTGTTACTGGTTGGCCCCGGCCCCGACGATGGGCTCATGGTGAGCGCCTTTTAAAAGAGCTGAGAGGGAACAGAGCGAGAAGAGGCGGCCGTCATCGTCGGGGCCGGCGTTCATGGTTTCCAAAAAGAATTTCAAATTTTGATTCATCTGACCACAGAACAGTTTTCCATTTTGCCTCAGTCCATCTTAAATGAGCTTTGGCTCGCCGCTCCGCCTCCTCGTCACCGCCCCTAGCTGGCAGCTCAGCCGCCCGGGTCGAACGTGAGGTGTAGTGAAGCGGCCTCGCTGCGTAACAGGGGGCGGGCCCAGGCGGCGGAGCTCGGGACTCGCTCCTTGCCCTCGTGCCTCTCGTTACCGGCACCGTCGTCGTCTTCCTCCTCCTCCCACCGTTACTCGCGTCACTCGGGTTACTCGGAGGAGCTCGGGCTTTGCGCTCCTCTCCCTGCCGTCCTGGCCGAGGTTCGTTGCCGCTGGGTGTTCGAGCCCCGCTTTCCTGCCGGCTCTCGCGGACGTCATCGTCGGGGCCCGGGGGGAGGGCACATGCCACAGCCGTGTTCTGCGGACTCAAGAGGAGAGGGACCGTCCAGCTTGTTATCAGCGCACAGTTCAAAAGCCTGCATCTCTGATGGTTTGGGGTTGCATTAGTGCTTATGGCGTGGGCAGCTTACACATCTGGAAAGGCACCATCAATGCTGAACAGTATATAGAGGTTTTAGAACAATATGTGCTCTCATCCAGACCACGTCTCTTTCAGGGAAGGCCTTGAATATTTCAGCAAGACAATGCTAAACCACATACTGCAGCCATCACAACGGCATGGCTTCGCAGAAGAAGAGTCCGGGTGCTGAACTGGCCTGTCTGCAGTCCAGATCTTTCACCAATAGAAAACATTTGGCGCAGCATGAAATGAAAAATCCAGCAAAGAAGACCCAGGACTGTTGAGCAGCTAGAATCCTACATCACACAAGAATGGGACAACATTCCTCTCCCAAAACTCCAGCAATTGGTCTCCTCACTTCCCAGACATTTACAGACTGTTGTTAAAAGAAGAAGGGAGGCTACACAATAGTAGACACGGTTCTGTCCCAACTTTTTTGAGATGTGTTGCTTCCATTAAGCTCTAAATGAATTAATGTTTTTCATGAAATGGTAAAATGTCTCACTTTCAACATCTGATATGTGTTCTATATTCTATTGTGAATAAAATATGGGTTTATGAGATTTGCAAATCATTGCATTCTGTTTTTATTTACATTTATTTACATTTTACACAGCATCCCAGCTTTTTTGGAATTGGGCTTGTACATGGTTGTAGCAGCTTTTAATATTAGTACAATATCTTCTTATTTGCCATCGACAAGTCATATTTATGAAATGTCTAAGAGTAAGAACACTGATCCAATATCTTAATAGTTCAATTCTATTCAGTTTTACTTTAACAGTGTTTGCAGTACTCAGCATTCTTACGCTTAGACTTTAGACAATTTGATAAATAAGGGTCAGAATTATTAAACTGATAGGTATTATTTGTCTTTGTCTTATTTTCTGCTATGCTCACCATGAAAATCAGTACTA